CTTTCTTACCAAATAAAAGCAAAATTTGGTCTAAACTCTTTTTCTAAATACTTTTTGGGTTTATTTGTTACAATACTTAACAAAATTAAATAAAAAAGACTGAAGGTCAAAGTCAAGGTCATCAATAAGCTTTGACCTTTAGGACAACTTTAAGGTCATCGAATGCACAATTTGTCCCAAGTGATTTTTATTTTGTATATGTCACTGTTTTAAAGCTATTTCAATAACAATGTCAAAATTCTTTTTCAAAATACCAAAAATTACATTTTTATGTTCCCATAGCAACCACCCTAGCAACTAATTTCCCAAACCTTTATTGATAAATTATCCCTAGGCAACAGTGATAGTTTACATTTTTTATCTTTGTATAATTGGTTGTGGATGCAAAAGTGTAAAATTATGCCATGCAAAATGCCTATAATTTGCCTTCTTGAATACATTGAAAACTCCACTATTTAAATCAGTGCTGCCCCCTACTTCCCCTTTTGTCAGAAATAGTTTTTATCTTTCATCTCACTCATGAAATGTTATATTTTAATGAACAAAAGTCAAAATATTCATAAAACTTGAAATGTGTGCATGATTACTGCTTAAAATGCGTCATTTTTGTTCGTCAAAATATGCATTTTTGAGGCAAAATCCAAGGGGACCCGTTACTATGGCAACGGGGGCATAAACAAATTTTTTGTCAACATAATTCTTCTTTGTTTATCGATAGCTACCAATAAACCAAATTTCAAGAAAATCTAAGACTATGAGTGCCGCAACATGGTTGGTGGTTACAGAGAATTGCTGTTAATGCGTTTGGCTTCTAATACATTAGTCATAAATTGTGCAATATGAAAGTTATAATACCAACACGCTGTAGGCACAATTAAATTGGTATGCCATGTTTGTATGATAACGACAAGATTAACGGCGCTGTGAGCACACTCTCATAACTGAAGGCACTGATCGTCATAAACCCAGTATTTTAGTGTGCAAACATAGTTCACATAATACATGTTAAACGTTTCTATAACTGAATTTAAATTTATTCATCAAAGTAATTGTAAAATTAACCCAGGTTTAAAAATTATTAAGCCTGTTGAGCCGAGATCATTTCATTGATGCATTAGATGATGTGGATACACGTTTGCGTATGCATCAAGATCACCCAAAGACACTAGATGATGCAGTTAAGTTGGATGTTGAGCTCGAGGCATTTTATATCGCGGATAAACAGAGTGACAAACCTTCAAGTATTCGAAATTTTGCAAATTCGGAAAGTTCAGAAGTGTCTGGTCAAATTGAAACACTGACTGATATGGTAGAAGAACTTTGACGTGAGCTTCAGTTTCGTAAGCGCGATATGTGTCAACAGAGACGCTGATTTAACAACAATAACAACAAGACGGAAAAAAAAGGATGTTGGACTTGTGGCGAGACAAGTCATATTAGAAGAAATTGTCCTAATGATGACAAAAGTAACAGAAATTATCAACAAAAAGACAGAGTAATAACCGTTCGTATAGCAAGTGGCGATAGAGGAATGTATAGTCCTGGTAAATTTCAAGGTACAAACGTTCAATGTTTAGTAGATACAGGTGCAAATGTGACAATTTTGAACGATAAGGTATACAATTTTCTGTCCGAAAACAAAGTGGTGTTGCGTCCAACACATACAAACATGAAACTTGCCGACGGTAAACCACTTAAAGTTAAAGCAATAGGTAAAATGGACGATGTGTGGGTAGCTGATATAGATGAAGATATAGACTGTATTATCGGCTTTGACTTCATGAAACAAACATGTGTTGCATTCATGTGGCCAACAATACAATGACTGTTTGTCTTTTTATCTTTGGCCATGACGTTGTCAGTTTGTTTTCGATCTATGAGTTTGACTGTCCCTCTGGTATCTTTCGTCCCTCTTCTTTAATAAAGAAGAGATATCATGTGCAGTATTAAATACACAGGGTGTGCGATGTTGTCGAGTTGCTGTGTCAAAGACAACAATTATTCCGCCTGGTGTCGAGCAGATTATTCCTGGGAAAGTTATTGATATTGGTTATGCTCCAGAATGTAGCATATTAGTAGCTTCAGATAAATTTGTGGAGAAACATCAGCTCCTGTTGGCTAAAACAGTAGTTAATTCATCATCAAATGCCGTTCCGATTCAAGTTTTGAACGCAACAGATAAGTCTGTTAAAGTGTATAAAAAAACTTCTGAAACGCCATGTGAAACAGTAACATTACTTAACGAGTCAGCTTGTTCTCTAGATTTGTCAAAAGAAGATATTCCAGAACATTTATCTAGTTTATCATGTTTATACACAAACAGTATTAGCGACTTGTTTTACCGTATTCAAAATTCAGAACCAGCAAAATCAAGTGTTGTTCATTACAACAGATCTGGACTAAAACCGTATTTTGGAGATTTTGACAATTGCCTAATTAAAACTGTAAGTCAAAAAGACACGGAGTCTAACGCTACCGCAATCAAAGAAAATAACACCGAGTCTGACACTGAATTAAGTGAAAATGAACAGTGCAATTTGTCTAATTTTCCAACTGAAAATGTTGAATACAGTCGCATACAACGTGTTGTAAAGCGTCCACCCAACATATTCGTTCCTGATTCGAACTTTTATTGAACTTTATAAACTATGAACATTTAAAATGAACATTGAAATGAACATTGCATGTTTTCATGATTATGATTGGATTATTTTATTCATTTTATTGTTACAATGTTGAAATTGATTTTTGATACATTTTGATTTTTCCACGTATATTTTATTGCGTGTTGTTGTTTAATTTTTGAAAGTGGTCTTCCATACTTTAATAAGTTAAAGTTGTTTTTTTTTTAATTTTTTTTTACATGTGAGACCCATGTTTTTCAAAGAGGGAGGTTATGTAATATTCTAATGTTTTGTAAATATTGACCTCTAGTTGATTTGGCTTTATAACTGTTTATTCGTGTACAGAGAAAATTAATAACGCAATGCTAATTTGAAAACCGGCTAATTTTATTATCTGCAGTTAAAGCTGAACTTTCAGATGTAATTAAGACAAGTAACAATGTAGGGTAATAAAATTAATTATGCCTATTTGTTTTGTCTAGAGAGAAAGTAATTAAACTCTCTGATAAAGGTCAGTTGGTCAAGATACTGGAGAAGGTGTATCAGCTGTGATACTGTAAGGATGGAATTTTCCTTGAAGTCTTGAATCAGAATAACGGTCACGTTACAATATTATATAAACAAGTCTAAATTGAAAACAACGTTCAAACCTATGATTGCGTTGGATAAAAATAGCAATTTTCATACGTGTGCATGCAAAATAAATTTTTCGGTAGAGGTGTCTGAATACAGCACAAATAACAATTTTCAAAAGACCACAAAAGTGAAAAAGTATATATATATAGATATACAACTTGTCTAAACATCAGCCCAACAATGTTAGATCTGTAAATTTGCTTTCGCAAATTTTTTGTTCTTCCCTAGCCGGGATTCGAACTCATGCTACTGAGATATCGTGACACCAAATCGCCTGCACTGTATCCGACGCACTAGACCACTCGACCACCTAGGCTTCAAAGTAAAGCTTTCGGTGGCCGGGTGTTACCTTTCCTCGTCAGTTTTAATCTAGCGTTGTAATACAGTACATGATATATAAGGCAAGAAGATGGAATTGTAACAGATCAGCTGAAATATCTATTGTAAAGGATCGTACAAATTAATGCAAGATACAGTCACAGAAATAATTATATTTATAAGTACGTCTGAACCAGTGACAACTCTACAACAGATTTATCCATCGGATCTACAGCAGTGATGGTGAAACATGGTGATACATATATATATATATTGAATGATAAAAGTTAGTCTAAATTGAAAACAACGTTCAAACCTATGATCGCGTTGGATAAAAACCGCAATTTTTATACGTGTGCATGCAAAACAAATTTCTTGGTAGAGGGGTCTAAATACAGCACAAACAACATTTTCCAACAGACCAAAAAAAGTAAAAAAGTATATTTAAACAACATGCATTTGAATGATAAAAGAACATACATGTAGTTACCCTAGCTATCATATAATTTTCACAATAAGTATATATACCTGCACATAGCTATCATTGTTACGCTATTTCATGGGGAGATACTAGTAAATAGATTTGACAAATATCTTAAACATTTACGAAAGTGATTTTAAAGACATATATACACAATCTCTGGTGATTTTAATTGCATCTGTAAAAAATTATCGACATCTGGTTAGTTTCAGATTCAATCATCAACCTTGTCTTATATTTCACCTAAATTTCTCGACCTCATGCAATATCATGAAGCTTCAAATAGTGACCTATCCAACGACTCATCCCTTCCACTCATTACATAATAAGTGCCCCACACACACCCCGAGATCGTTGGGCTGAGTTGGATGTTGTCTATATCTACCTAGCTAGCTTTTCCTAGCAAGATAGCAGACGTTGAAGAACAGAAGACTAAAAATATATCTAAAAGGGAATATAAGAAGAACAAAAAACTACTCTCAGACGATAAAAGCAATTATACATGTATGCTAACATATTTTAAGCAATGTTGAATGATTTTAAAGGAGATGTGAAGTATACATAATTAATTTAGACAGCAACCCAATTAAGCAACAAACAAAACGTGACAATTTACTTCTAAAGTTCAATCTACTGTCTTCTTCAATGGACATGTCATTACAACATTTAAAGGTTTTTTATCCTCCCAAGTCTAACTATAATATATAGAATAGTTGTGAATATGTGAGCCAAAATTTGTTCCTTTGAAAAAAGTTCCAGCGGAACAAATATCACAGGAAATATATTCAGGGAGAACTTTTTTCACAGATAATTTCTATATAATTTGATCCATCTCTATAAAATAAGTCCCACAATTTACATGAAAACATAAGTTCTGGGTTTGTGAAATTCGTTCCTTACCTAGTGAAATAAGTTCCGGGTTTGTGAGATTTGTTCCTTACCTGGTGAAAAAACTTCCTTGTCTGTGAAATATGTTCCACTGGTTATACAAGTTATCTTTAATACTGAGTATTGTTATCAGTGAGTTTAAAGTTATAATTCAAGTACATTATAAAAACATGTATTATATTGATAATATAATAATTAAAAGGTGTAAACATCCAATATGGATTCTGTGGAGTATAGCAAAATGTTTAATTACATTATCCATAAAAAAAAATATACCCAAATGACATTAATTTAATGAGTCATAAAGGCGAAGAATAAGAAAAATCCATCAGAAATTGTTTAAAGATCAATCATTTATTTATGAATATTGCAATTCAACATATGTTACTTCATATCATAATTTGTAGAAAAATGAAATAGTGTGTTTTGAATATTTATCACAGTTGTTAATCATAGTTGTGCAGATGTTTTTAATCATATCATCTACGTACAATATATATGCTGACTTAATTTGAATTTATAAAAGATTTACCTTATTTTGAATGTTTTCGTGTTGTTTAAAGACTTCAATGTTGAGTTTTGAATTTGTCAGGTACAACTATAGAATGTTTTGCTTGATATAAAGTTACTGCATCATGTTAATCTATAACACCCAGAACTTATTTAACATTAAGTAAAAAATTAGTTCCGGAACAAATTTTACAGTGCTGGAACATACTTCCTTATAATATGTATGCCGGGTATAAATTTTCTGTGATATAGATTCCGGTGGAACATATATCCTATGAAATAAGTTCCGGCGGAACAAATGTCACGCCGGAACAATTTTGTTGTCACAAAAAATAATTCAGATATTACTTGAAGCTATGAGCAGGGTCAGGAACAAACATCTAATGTTTGTTTTGAGGTTTATTGACTATTTACAGTACTTGCAACCTTCGGCGTTATTGTTTGACGTGAACTTGACTGATCGGTGAATGATCGGTGACGGATGTTTGACTGATCGATGACTGATCGGTGATCGATGACCAATAGAATCCGTCAGATACGTCAAATAAGCTATATGAGAGTTACCTTGACAACGGTCAGCGATCGATCAGTAAAGTAATTATATGCACGGATCTGACGGATATGTATATAATTAAAATTCTTATGTAAAACGAACTCCACAGTATTTACATTCGATAAACGCGGACCTCTACGAAGACACCTTACTCGTTAATTTTTTTATCAACGGGTTGCAATAACACATACATAATATATAAATTACTTTTCAAGCATTATATGTATTACTTAATATTCTCTTGTACTTGAACGTGGTATGTTTATTCAAAATCAAAAGGCCTCAAGTAACGACTTTTTTATAAGAGTTGCATACTTCATTTCAAATTGTAAGGTGAAAAATACTTCAACTTTTTTTGTGTTGAATACGGTGAATACGAATGTAATAATTTCTTTATTTTGATAGAAATTACGAAATTCCATTAGATTTCAGTATTTTGTGTACATCAGGATTGATTGTTTTTCATAAAATATGCTAACTTTTAGGGAAAAGATACAGTACTAAATTTTTTTTCGTGTTGAATAATAATGCAAACATTTTTTCTTTTATATTAGAAATAGAAATAAAGCAACCTCAAATGCAATCAGACATTATAAATGCATTTAGATTTGTACATTTGTATAAGATGTTAATAATATAAGGATATATAAGCATAAACTTTTGTTTTTGTTGAAAAAGAATGCAATATTTTTTTTATTTTAATGGAAATTATTGACCGTCATTGGATTTTTGTACTTTTTGTAGTTCAGGATTGTTTTTTTTTTCATTTAACTAAAAGAATATCAGAGAAAGTATACTAAAATGTTGTTCGCAATGTATAAAATTACTAATTTTTCTTCTTTTGATAAAAGATAATGAATTTATTTGAAACTAATTATTGTAAAGGCCTCGAGATCTGTTTTTTATAAGAAATCTAATAATGTAAGGAGAATAGTACTTAAACTTTTGTTTGTGTTGAATACATATACAAAAGTTTCTTTATTTTGATAGAAATTATGAACCGCCATTTGATTTCAGTACTTTTTGTACATCAGGATTGGTTGTTTTTCATAAATTATGGTGAATTTGAGGGAAAAGATACTAAAATTTTTGTTTGTTTTGCTTAAAAATGCAAATATTTCTTCTTTTATTTCAGAAATTTTGCAACGTCACTTGCTATCAGTCATTATAAATGCTTATAGGAAAGCAATTTTGTATAAAATGTGAATTATTGAAGAATAAATATGCATAAACTTTTGTTTTTGTTGAATAAGAATGCTATCATTTCTTTATTTTAATGGAAACTATTGACCGCCGTTGGATTTTTGTATTTTTTGTTGTTCAGAATTGGTTGTTTTTCATAAAATTAAAAGAATATCAGAGAAAATATACTAAAATGTTGTTCGCATGGTTTAAAATTACCATTTTTTCTTTTTTTGATAAAAAAAAATGCAATGATTTTGAAACTAGTTATTTCAAAGGCCTCAAGATACATGTAAGATTTTTTATGAGAATTTTAAATATATAAGGTTTAAACTTTTGCTTGTGTTGAATAGGAATGCAATAATTTCTTTATTTTGAAGGAAATTATGAACCGCCATTTGATTTCAGTACTTTTTGTACATCAGGATTGGTTGTTTTTCATAAATAATGCTGAAATTCAGGGAAAAAATACAAAATTTTTGTTTGTGTTGCTTAAAAATGTTTATATTACTTCTTATATATAAGTTATAATGCAACGTCTCTTGCAATCAGAGATTATAAATGCCTTTCGATAAATAATTTTGTATAAAATGTAAAAAATTTAAGGATAAATATGCATAAACTCTTATTTTTGTTGAATATGAATGTAATAATTTCTTTATTTTGATAGAAATTATGAACCGCCATTAGATTTCTGTATTTTTTGTACATCAAGATTGATTGTTTTTCATAAAATATGCTTAATGTAAGGAAAAAGATACTAACTTTTTATTCGTGTTGCATAAAAATACAAATATTTCTTCTTTTATATCAGAAATAATGCATTGTCAATTGCAATCAGACATTATAAATGCATTTAGATCAGTACTTTTGTATAAGATGTGAATAATTTAGGGATATATATGCATAAACTTTTGTTTTTCTTGAATATAAATGCAATATTTTTTTATTTTTATGGAAACTATTGACCGTCATTGGATTTTTGTACTTTTTGTAGTTCAGGATTGTTTTTTTTTTTAATAATACTAAAAGAATATCAGAGAAAATATATTAAAATGTTGTTCGCAATGTATAAAATTACTAATTTTTCTTCTTTTGATAAAAAATAATGAATGTTATTTGTAACTAGTTATTTAAAAGGCCTCAAGATCAGTTTTTGATAAGAAATTTAATAATGGAAGGAGAATGATACTTTAACTTTTGTTTGTGCTGAATACATATACAACAGTTTCCCTATTTTGATAGATATTATGAACCGCCATTTGATTTCAGTACTTTTTGTACATCAGGATTGGTTGTTTTTCATAAATTATGCTGAAATTCCGGGAAAAAATATAAACTTTTGTTTGCATTGCTTAAAAATGCATATATTTCTTCTTATATATGAATAATAATGCAACGTCACTTGCAATCAGACATTATTAATGCCTTTAGATAAATAATTTTGTATAAAATGTGAAAAAATTTACGGATAAATATACATAAACTCTTATATTTGTTGAATATGAATGTAATAATTTCTTTATTTTGATAGAAATTATGAACCGACATTAGATTTCTGTATTTTTTGTACATCAAGATTGATTGTTTTTCATTAAATATGCTTAATTTAAGGGAAAAGATACTAACTTTTTATTCGTGTTGCATAAAAATGCAAATATTTCTTCTTTTATATCAGAAATAATGCATTGTCAATTGCAATCAGACATTATAAATGCATTTAGATCAGTACTTTTATATAAGATGTGAATAATTTAGGGATATATATGCATAAACTTTTGTTTTTCTTGAATATAAATGCAATATTTTTTTTATTTTTATGGAAACTATTGACCGTCATTGGATTTTTGTACTTTTTGTAGTTCAGGATTGTTTTTTTTTTTTTTCATTAAACTAAAAGAATATCAAAGGCCTCATGATCAGTTTTTTATAAGAAATTTTATAATGGAAAGAGAATGATACTTAAACTTTTGTTTGTGTTGAAGACATATACAATAGTTTCCCTATTTTGATAGATATTATGAACCGCCATTTGATTTCAGTACTTTTTGTACAACAGGATTGGTTGTTTTTCATAAATTATGCTGAAATTCCGGGAAAAAATATAAAATTTTGTTTGCGTTGCTTAAAAATGCAAATATTTTTTTCTTATATATGAGGAACAATGCAGCGTCACTTGCAATCAGACATTATAAATGCCTTTAGATAAGTAATTTTGTATAAAATATGAATAGTTTAAGGATAAATATGCATAAATTATGCTGAATTTCAAGGAAAAGATACTAAATTTTTGTTTGCGTAGCTAAAAAATGCAAATGTTTCTTCTTTTATTAAGAAATAATGCAACGTCAATTGCAAAATGGATTGTATTTCACAAAATTAAACGAATATCAGAGGGAAGATACTAAAAGTCATTCACATTGTTTAAACTCTAATAAATTACCAATATTTCTATTTTTTATAAAAAATTCAGCAATGTTATTTGTAACTAGTTATTTTAAAGGCCTCCAGATACGTTTTTTATAAGAATTTTAAGATTATAAAAATATAAAAAATAATACATTGAAATTGGCAAAAAATGATCATGTCTTTTCATTTTTCAGAGCATTTTCGGGGAACAAAATCCAAATCGCGATAAAAAATCGTTTTAGCACTGTTCGGGTATGAAATATATAACCTAAATAAAAACGAAAATCACCATTCTGTTATAATAATATATAAAATCAGTTCGATCTGCATATTTCTTTTTTTTTTTTAATTCTTAAAACTTTGCTGAATAATCACTAAAAAAAATGTTGATCTTTTGTACTTGAACGTTTCGTATTTTCCGTGGCGCCATTAATTAAATGAAACGAAACTAAGATTCCGTAATTTGTATTAGTTTATCATGTGACGTAGTAGAGTTAAATCCGTCAGAAAGGTCGATCGGTCCTATCCGTCCGATCCGTCCGATCA